GGGRRAAAAMMAMCMAAAAAAACCCAAGAGAGATATCAGGAAATAGTTTTAAGTCATGGCTTTTTTTAGTATTTATACCTGTAGATAGAAGTAGTTGTGATCCACCAAGTTCACTAATGTCTTGAAAGCCATGCAAATCCAAATCCCACAAGGACATGAGTATCCTTGTAGAGCAAAACACATGCCACCAAGTCTGCTGCTGGAACCCAGCAGTGCAGTCTTGAAAATGATGTTCCCAAATCACATGCCCTTCTGAAACTCTTACTTAGTTCTGGCTGCTACTGGTTCATTTTGAGTCTTACCTGAGAAAGCAGGAAAATTCAACCCCAGGGYGAACAAAGGTCAAGGCTTGTTTAATGCTCCTTGAGGTCTCTTTCCTGTAAGTCCTTGTTTCAGTATGTAAATGACCTAATTCCTTGCCAGAAGCTTCAAGTTATTTACAAAAAAAGTCACTGACTTGGACACTGTTTTTCTGGAATGTATCTTTGATACACTGACCAAGCTACTCTTGTAAGTCAAAACAAATCAGAAAAGCAACTTTCCACCTTTCTCAGCAGGCTGTATCCTGCCTTTGACAGGATACACTGCCTGCATTGACTCAGTTTCTTCCAATATTGTTTGCTTCTCTTTGCAAAATAAGAACTTAATTATTCTTTGTAGGAAAAAAAGCAAACAGTTACTAACACATTCAGCAAAGTGAATTTACAGCAAACATTACCACCACCGCCATCCAYCCCCCCCAATCTTCAGCATTAATTTAATGGAGGCCAATTGTTAGGGTAAGAGTTTTATGTTTGAAAATAAAGTGCATAATGGTTGTCACTGAGAACTTTGCTGATTTCAGGTTAGCATAGTTAGTGTCAATTCTCAGCAACATYAATAAAATACTAATTACAACATAAATTTTTAACATGAGTCAAAATCTGAAACAGCACACATGAAAAATAAGATTGGTATAAATAGGAAAAAGAGAGAAAGGAAAGTAAAATGGAATCCCTAATCCTTTGTGGAACTGAACCTATTATACAGCTACCCCAACATGCCGCATCTGAAATGAAGAATCACAGTCTGTTTGCTTCCCTTCCACCATTCTTGAATTCAATGTGTAGCTTTCTGGTGGTATCTGACAGATTTCACCTCGAACAGGGGAAGATGTATCTTGAGGGAGCTCTACAGAGACAGAGTCAGAAGAAGAATCTTGGCTTTTTGGTGACACAGCGATTTGTAGACAGCTGCCCTCCATTTCCTCATTGCAATCTGTGTCWTCATCAGCCTCYTCCAGCTGCTGAACAGATTTCAAATACTGTTGTATCAGTCCGCTGTCCTGTTCATTACTAGAGCTCTCTTTACTTTGCTCACACTCCCCAGGGCCATCCTCTACATCTGAAGAACAKGCTGAAACACAATTGCCACACTCTTTGATGGTTTCCATTGAAAGGGAGCTCTCTGTTCCTTCAGCTAAACTTTTTTCAGAGTTACACAGGTCATTGGCATGAGTCTGATCAGCTGCAGAAGAATGAAAACCAGAATCTGGGAACTGCAACAAAGACTTTTCCTGAAGATCATCCTCACTAGCTGCAACTAACAAAGCAGAACTARTATCTGGTGGGGTTTCTTGTTCCACTGTGGATGACTGATTAGGTGGTTTGGATGAACAAAAAGCACTGGCTGAAGGGATCATCCCAGCACCACCTAAACTTTGTGTCACTGAAAGCTGCCATTGTTGAAGGGATTTAACCTGTAAAGTATAGAGAAAAATTCATTATGAAATGCAACTAAGAAAGTATTTTGATTTCTAGAGGATCTCTTGCACTCAGCAACCAAGCTCTAGTATGGAACCTAAGACCTAGTAACAAATAAGAGGTTTGCTATATCTTTAGAGAAATTTTATTCTTCCCACTGTGAAATCATGGCTTTTAAACTTCATGCCAAATACTGACAGAACACACAAGCTCCCAATTCAAGTAYCTGAAGAAAAAGAAATCTATTCTTAAAACCAGAAAGGATTCATCCATTTCAAAAAAACAAGCTTATTTTTGGAAGAACARCTTATTAAAAGATGCATTAATACAAGTTTCCTACTTCAAAAACGAGTTGCTCCCAAGCAACACAGCTTGACATAATTTGATTTGCTATGGGCAAATGGCAGTCACATCATTCTTCACACTTCTGTTTATGTTTATTAAGCTTTTCCTGGATTTTGTCCTCCTTCTCACACCAGCCCAAAATTTCGTCTATAGTAATAAAACCAGTGCTCTTGCACCAATGCTTTGAAGGTTATTTTCTCCCACAATACCAGTATAGCAAACAACACAGCAATTGGATTCTATTAAACCACTCAAATCATCATTGGAAAAACTGAACCATATTGAATGTCTCTTCAGGATCTATAGTATGAAATAATGCAAATTTACATATAAGCAGATTCAAATTCAAATTCACACATAAGCAGAATAACAAGAGGACTAAAATTATTTACCTGGTTCCAAAGAAATTTGACAGCTTCCTCCTGTACAAGYCTCTGCATTTTCTCTTCCTCTCTTTCTTTTCTTAGTCTGCAAGAACACGCATCCAACGCAAATTTATGCAGCTTAAATAAGCAACACTTGGGTAACAAGAGCAACAAGAATACATAAAAATGCCTACTTATATAACAGCACTCTTGAAGGACACAACAGAGCCTAACATTAAGAAATTACTGCAGTCTGGCTTGCCATAAATACCCAGCTGCTGACTTCAAGTTTCTCTTTCAGTTACATTTAGATTCTGCATCCTTTTACTGTAGCACATTTGTTRGCTTGCCAATAATGTGTCTTTTTGTAAATGAAACCTAAATTCTTATTTTTTTCCTGCACAACTATCACCCCACCCACACAAAATAGTGCTTCTTCATTTCAAATTATGCTGTCCTCACTGAAACATGGATGGAATATGACGTGTAAGAATTGGGAGTTTATAGAGGTTCACTGAGCACTCAGCTTGATTCACAGAACTTTTGTCACTTGTGACAGTGAAGAAAAAGAGCCTGTCAGCTCCAGGCTGATCCAGAAAGATATTCACTAAATTCAGAATTTTGTCTTACAAATTGAGGAATTTCGATCATGATCTTGTCCAAACATGGATTCACAGGATCAAAAATTAAAACAGAACCCAACACAGAGTCACATTTTAAAAATGTATTATACAAGGTAGAGGACATTCTTTTCACCAGCAAGAAGAAGAACAGCTTTCAGTATGGACACTTGATTTACAGACTCTATAATTGCATGAAGACAAGCAAAATAAATCCCACTCAGCAATTTCTATTTTGAAATATGCAAGTCCTGCTAACAGAGGAATAGAAAAATGTGTTCTAACCCAATCCACTTTGGCACTTTGAGAGTATGAACAGTATTTGAACAGTGCAAAACTGTGCTCACCTTACAGGAAGAGATCCTCTAATGTAATCACAGTTTTATATCAAGGCCCATTTATRTATGTTCTGAAATACTCTGGAACCATGGTTATATCCATACAGACTTGAAAATACACAGCATGACCTCAACTTACTTTTCTATTTCAGCAGTTAAGCAAATGATGTGCTCCTGCATTCTCTTCAATCGAATTTCATTCCGCACTTCCTTGGCTTGAGGATGGTAGTTCCTCGTGTAAAATCCTCTCCAAGAAGCTTGAAGCTTGGTAGCTGCTTCAGTCATCCTTTGCACCACAGCTGCACCTTGATCAGATGGTGCTGCACATTGCACAGCCAATGAACCAGAACTTTCTCCTGTCATCTGGTCAGGACAAAGAGCTTTTACTCCTGATTCAGCACTTAATGAGGCGCTGGAGTGATTGTGCAGAACKTGGCCTTCAGAGGTCCCCAGAGAGCTGCCAGTCTTAGCAGCCAGGCCAGCTGTCACTGATCCCAACTGCGGGATCTCTTTGATATTCTCTTGCGTTTCCACACTTCCTGCTGCACTGTTCAAGTGCTCCCCTGTAMCAGCCAAAGCTTCTTGCTTGTTAGTTTTTTCCCTACTATTAACATCTCTCACACATTCAATCACTTTATCATCATCATCTTCTAAGCCCAAACTGATTCYATGTAGCTTCAGGTCTGAAGCAGGAGACACTGGAGACAATCCTGAAGCAACTGGCATGAAAGTTGACTCTGAGGATAAAAGGCTGCTGTTTAGTTTGTCTTCATCTGTCTGAACATCTTCAAGGTATAGCTCCTTGGGAGAGCTTCTTTGAACAAGACAAGTGTTCTTTACTGCATAGGAATGATCACCATTTTGTCCAACCCAAGAATTCCTCTTGATGACAGGTTCTAGACAGGCAGAAAGCCACATTCTAGTGTTAGAATATTTCAATAATAATAATAAYAGCTTATTTAATCCATACAGATTCCCAATTTGGTTTTGACAGTTAGCACCTGGGTGGGTAAGATGATCTAGCATGCTAGCAACGACGAGCATTATTTCTGTGTCAGGACAACACTTACCACAGTAACATCCAAACTTGGCAAATATTAGGCACAGGAAACAACATGAAATGCACTTCCTCAGACAATAGACTCATATAAAATGGAAAAGTCAAAGTAGTAACTCTTTAGTTTATTGGATTGGGATTTTCACCTAACCAACCTACRCACATTTCAAGACTCAAATAAGCATGGACTGGATTTTTTCAGAAAATAAAGTATGACTTCAGTTKAGAAAACTAAAGAATAGAATAAAAWAATAGGGCCTTGTTCTGAAATTCTCTCCACAAAGTTACCTATGTTCAAAAGAAAAATATTTACTTCCACAGGTTAGATCACAGGTATAGATAATCTACTTACCCTTTTCAAGAACCATCTGTGATGGCTGGGCCAGACCACTGTGTTCATGAGCAACTGGCACTGTTTTACTGGGAGCAGAARGTGTAGGTGGTTCCTCATTTTGGTTTTCATGCATCAACTGCCTCTGATGGAGTCTAAGCACAGAGTGCCAACAACAGATTTTATGTTTCTTTTTAAACTTTCTTTTGTAAAAGAAAACACCTAAAAGAACTATTAACTACTTCTAAGGAAACAAGTGATCAAAACATTCTAAACAGGAGGCTAGTTAGGCAGTTATACAGACTCCTATACTTACAAGACACTAAAACAGGACTACTCACAAAGCAGGGGATTGCAGTCTTTTCCTGCTCCCCTTCCTCCTGCCCCTCTTTCTTCATTACATGTATGAAAAAAAAAGCCCAACATGCAATTCTGACTATAGACTGAAAGCCATGAGGTATTTCTATACACAAGGAAGGCATGCAGATATTTTAATGTCTAATGTGGAATACATTCTGTGTGTAGGTATAGAAGAGTTCAAGGAATGATGGGAGTATCTTTTTCATTTGAAAGTGAATGAATCAAGGACTAAGTGTCCCTGTTACTAAAGGCACAAAATCCTAGTACAAATTAACAAATCTTGCCACGAACAAATTCATCCTTCAAAACCCAGACAACACTGTTGTTTAAGCCCAGCTAAATTAGAAGATCATGGTACAGAGGTCAAACTGTCCTATAAATCATATATACATGTGCATGTATATGGGTGAGGATTTGGGGGATTGCTTTTTCTGGTAAGGTTTTTTTGGCTTGGCTATTGAGAATTTTTTAATTTTTGAAGAGTTATATTTAGCAGACCAATGTCCTGAATTTTGCCCAGAAACATTATGTGAATGCCAGAGCACTTAGTTAGAGATTCCAAGGTCAAGATGCTTTGACTGCACCTTTTCCTCAGAAACAGTTACAACATTTCCATAATTTCCTCCTGGAGACCAATCTACATTGACAAAGTGTGCAGTAATTCCTTCCAGTTGCTCCCAAATTTATGGCCCTTTTGATGGGAGATCCTTSTGCTAACCACAACACTTTTGTTGCTCAACTCTTTAACCACATTATGCCACTTAAGTAGTCTGCTCCTGGGAGCTGAATTTTCTGCTCTTTCTGGAAAAATAAATTTGTCCATAGGTCCTGGGGAATAGAACAACGTGTATTGTTATATTTTCTGGCTTCTACCAAAATTAGTTTGCCTTTACATGGATGAAAAATGCACCATGAAAAATCTACTCATCTACTTGCACAGACCTTAGTAATACAGCTACTGATGGCAGAACCAGCAGGCTCTCYAGAGGCCTCTGCTGACAGACCTCAGATGCCAAATAAAGAGATGGACAAATGCATCACTGGGAACAGTGTCCCTGAAAGGACAACCTTAACTTTCAAACCAAGAAATAACATGCCAGCAATAAAGACAGTGGATAATACACCAGCATACCATAAYAATTGTAACTTGTTTACAATCAGAAGTAAAGTTAAACTAAGCTTCTTTTTGAAGTTTTCATCATTTTTTCTGTGGCAAAAAGAATCCCAGCACATAGTTTGTTAATCATAGTTCTAACACAAATTACCTTCAGTGTCCTACAGAGCACAGATTCAAAAATACAGGAACTTTCTCCTAGATGGCCCAGAAAGCAGGAAAACAGTCCTGCTGCTGCTGCCTTGCCTCCCATTCCYATCTAGGACACATCCCATACCCCATTATGCTTGGCATCTCCAGCCCTCATTGTTGCTTTGAATTACTTACACGGAAATCTTACTAGATCAAACACATAAGATACATAATTATGTTCTCAATTACATTCACTAAGAAAAGAAACAAGAAATTCTCACCTTTGCTTACTTAGTATTTTTTCCAGTTTGGCATCCTCTTCAGTCTGGAGTCCATATGCAGATATGAGAGGACAAACAGTAGCCAAGTACTGAACTAGCTGAACATGCTGCCCAGGTCGATATGATCTTCCTTTCCCTTGACTATAGAGCCATTCTGCTTTCAAACTGTTAGGAAGGGGGAAACGGTCACCTTCAATGAATGGCAYAAAACCAGTAACTACTGTTCTGCTRGTGGGTACCCARGAGCTAACCTATAAACCTAATCAAAACTTAGAACATGTGCAGTGCCCAGAGGAACTGGGAATGTCATTACCAGAACAAAGAATACAGTATTCATTCACTTAAGTATCAATGAAATAAACAAACAAACAAAAAAAMCCCTCTTGTTTAAAACTGGGCAGTCTCTGCTTTGTGTGCAGTCTCTGCTTTTGTGGACTCTTTGAGCACTGAAAACACACTTGTGTCAATGAACTTCTCAGCAAAGCTTTCACAGAAACAGAGAAGTTCACACAAACATGCAAAAAGACACAAAGAACAAATCTTGCCAAAAGTATTCAACACCAGAAATCTGTTTTTGAACTAAATGCACTTCAGTCTGAGAATATTTAATATGATACATCTACGTGTACAGTATTAACAATACGGCTAATACAGAAAATCCCATTAGTCAGGAAAAAAGTCTAGAATTCTAACAGGCAACTTTTCAGGGAAGTCATGTTATGGTGAAACAAAAATAAAATTGGCTTACCTTTAACCAAAAAAAGGGGTACCTTTTTATTTTAGCAACAGGGAAAAAAAACTAAATAAACGTCCGAGAATATGTTCACGTCCTGGACTAAAATGTGCTTATACTGCATAATATTAATGCTTGGACTGTTCTGATGTCAAGAACTTTATCATGAAGATATCATAGTGATATAATGACCACAATGATACAGTAACAAGTGATTTGAGCAAAATAATATTTAACTAATAGATAACAAAAAATTTAGCTACAGCAATTTTAGCTTAACCAAACTTCATTTAATAGACATTTAATAATACTATTATGTCACCTTTCCTTCTGAGAAATTAAATATCCATCGAGAACTTTAAGGTTCAGACACCAGCTGACAACATAAGGCCTGTAGTCAAAGCCAGGGACAGAGGGTGTGGCCATCACACAAGGATTGTTCATAATGGACAGCTGCTCCAATTGGCGAAGAGAGGCCAGGAAAGAAACCTTGAGAGAACAAGGTACATTTGTTAACTGAACAGAACATACAACATTTCTGCTAGATACAGCTGGAAATCTCATGCAAAAAAACAGAATGACAAATACATCAAAAATTACATTTGATTTTTGAACATAAGGGACTACAAAGGACTTTCTGTCAACTACTGCGATTCGCCATTAATTCTTCTCTAAGTGCTATTAGTCCTTGGAAAGTATTAGCTTTTCTCAAAATTTGGGAGTGGTGCTTTATGTATAGAGAGGTATAGTACTACTATGATTCCAGTTTACTACAACAACTGTTGGATTTTGAAAAAAAAAAAAAAAAAAAAAAGCAAGCAAGCCAAAAAGCTGGAGAAACACAGTCCTGTTTTGAAGAGAAATTATTACCAAAATAATTTCCTCTGACATGAAATCCCAACCAAGAGTTTTGGCTGCTACTTATAATAAATCAAACAAAGACGAAAGTCACAGGCAGATTATTTGTTTCTCTTACACAGTATTTGANAAAAACTGTTGGATTTTGAAAACCAATTGAAAAAAAAAGAATAAAGCAAGCCAAAAAACTGGAGAAACGCAGTCCTGTTTTGAAGAGAAATTACCAAAATAATTTCTTCTGACATGAAATCCCAACCAAGAGTTTTGGCTGCTACTTATAATAAATMAAACAAAGACGAAAGTCACAGGCAGATTATTTGTTTCTCTTACACAGTATTTGAMAAATAGGTCAGTGGCAACAAGTGCAATTCAAACCTCTGTTCTAAACACAGCAGCTGCAGAAGCTCTCTGCAGCAGTTAATCAGCTCAGCTTTCAACTTTCAGACAACCACAAAAGGTATGAATTTAGGCCTAAAAGTAACATCCTTGAATAGTATAAAAAACATAACAGAAAAAAGGCAAAGTTTCTTTCCAGACTAAATTTTAAAATATATCATCTAGCTTGTGCAGCTAATGCAAACATGGTTATTACATATAAACAATTAACTTATTAGAAGTTGGGTTGTTTCAAAGAAGAGAGCCTATTTTCAGTTACAACCTCAAAAAATTTCTTCAACTTCCTTCTTTCAGTCTACTAAAAACTACCTAAGGTGTTCYACCTAAAGGTGATCTATGTTCTATATCTTACCTCATTTAAGTCTCTGATTTCATTTTCTGACAAAGAAAAAATAGTCAAACTCTGAGGTAGGCAAACAGGAGCAGTGCGAAGTGAAGTTATAATATTTCCATGTAGCAACAGAGTCTACAAAATAAAAACACGGTGATGAAATGAATGCTTGATCAAAACCCCAGMTTTCTTTTTCAGACAACACCTGAGAAAAATAAATGCAAAAGAACTATAATTAAGGCGTTCTGGTCACAGTTACCAAAAAAGGCATTTGGAAATATTTTTTGCTACCTTACACATGGCAGAAGAATTAATGGTAAGTTTTATCTTGATTCATGATAGGAAAGACGAGAACAAAGAGCTACGAAGAACATATCACCAGCATATCTTTATCAAAATCATTAGAGTGATTATAGAAAAGTCACTGACTCRGTTCTGCAACTTGAAAACAAGGAAGAGAGTTGATGCTTCCCTCTGGAAATTACAATTAATTAATTAAAATGTTCTAAGAGCTAGTGTTCAAATAGTGAATTTCTAAAGGCAGCAATTTKCAAAGCAAATTTCTTTGTTTCCTCAAGGTTTCTTTGTGTGAARAATGCAATAAAAACAGAGAGAGATAACACCTACCTTCAGCGAGGTAAGCTTGGAGAGATCGCCTAACTGAGCTATGTTATTGTCTGACAAATCAAGGTGCTGAAGAGACAGACAGGAATTGATTTGTTCAATGACCTACAAAAATAAAGAAGCCAATTACAGTAACTCTTTTTTAGCCACTACATAAAACCAGATATCAATAATTGTATATTATTTTGAAAGCTAAAAAAAAAAAAAAAAAAAAAATAAAATAAAAAAAAAAAAAAAAAAAAAAAAAAAAAAGCTAAGTAAACAAAAGTAAAAAACATGTTTTAATACAGTTTTATTTTAAAGATAATTCATTTTCCTATTTTGGAGAGTATTTCCTTATTTTCATTTCATTTTGAAACCAAACCTTTCACTTTTTTCCTAGAMAACTGTGCTCCAATAGCTGCATTCTTTTATTTCAAAAGCCAGTAGACATAAAACATTAAAACTGTTGTTCCAATCACAACATACTGAGATTTCTTTGCAGCATTTTCCAAATTTCTGTTACACAAGATTCTGGCAAATGCAACAGACTAAATAYTTTACCTTAAGGTTATTTCCTGCTAAATTCAGCCATTCCAGGTGTACCAAATCCTTCAGCCCTTCCACATACCCAATACTATTATGAGGCAAGTTGAGCACTCGAAGCTGGGTCAGTTTTGCTACACCCATCATTCGCACCAAACGATTGTTGGCTACAGAGAGCTGCAGATGGACACACAAAAGAAACAGTTTTAACTACACATAGAATAAGCTTTTACTTTTAGTAGTTAAAAATCTACCACCAGATACTTATTCAATCTATGTATTTACTTTTTGAGTAAATACCACAAACAAAAAATCTGAAAGAGACAGGAAATAAATTGCTGATCAAATAATATAAGTCTTCACAACTCACTCCACAAAACTAGGAGGAAATTATCCTAGCAATAGCTAAATAAAGGAAAAAGAATAAGAAATTGTGTCATATGAAAATAAGGTTTTAATATAAGAATTGCCAATTCATTTTGCAATTTGTTGCCCTGTCCCTGGTGTAAAATCGCACTTATGTCAATATGGTAAAGGACAAAATACATTTCACACAATTCTCAAACAGGTTCTGTGCTAACAGGACCAGAAATCACAAACTTTTTAAAGGGTAAATCCTTTARAAAGGATTAGACATACACTTCAGTAACAGGATCACCAAGCTGGCAGTTGGTGAAGGTTTGTTGTAGCAACAAACCCCACCTCTGCCAACTCAGTGTAGCTTGACTGTAGAAGTTATCAGGCAGAGTCTGTGGGATAATACAAAGTTATTTTGAAGGTCACAAAGCTCAAGCACTCAAAAGCTAATCAAAATTTGAACTATCACTGACTTTTCTAAGTATTCTGATGATGCTCCTCCTCCATTAGGATTTATTTAGTTTGTTTTTAGTTACCCGGGTAATTCTCAAAACAGCCTMCTCCACTTTCAGTTGTAGACCTCGACTGAAAACAAACTTTTCTRTTTCAGTTAGCCATCTTTTATTTTCCTCTGAAGAAAGGAACTTACTTCAATTACCTAATACAGCACTATGGCAGAAAATGCTAACATCATAGCACCATCATTTGATAGCAATTTCAAATCAAGTAACACTGACCTGCATGAGATTCTTGCATTTCTCCAAGTGTTCCAACTTAATTATCTGGTTTTTGTCCAGAATCAGAGTCTGAGTTTCAGCATCAAAGGGCAAGGTTGGAGTCAGTTTTTGCAATCCTTGACCTGAGCAGTTGACTACCAGGCCTTAGAATGAAAAGAAGAGAAAACAAAACAAAACAAAAAAAANAAAAAAAAAAAAAGCATCACAAGGCTTATATATGAAAACATGTACTCAAAAAGCAATGCAACGTAAACAGATTTGTTTTACAACACATGCAGATAATTTGGAAATACAAATTAACTTTCTTTTCCATGTAAAACTGAAGCAAATTACTTCAGCTTGAACACSTTAAGAGTAACTGATCCAGTTACTGGAAGATAGACATACCAGACCCTGTCCCAGTTAAGAACTCTGGCAGGATTCTGGAAAAGTCACAACATATCCTCTGAAGTGAGATGCAGAGCAAAATTCTGGTAACTAAATTTAAACGTGTGATCCTCAAAACCTCAAACGAGCCTAAATTTTRAAGTTCTTCAGAGATTTTGAGTTTTGAGCAGTTTGACAACTAATTACGTGTAAGTATTCTATCTAAACTAAGAAGCCATTCATGCAGCCATACTCCAGTACTGGGGTCATTGGAGGGAACAAACTGTAAATAGGCTAGCATACCATTTACCTAATGCAGCATACAAATTAAAATGCAAAATGGTTACTATATAAGGTTAAAAGGCAAACATTTGCCATCTTCAGGGAGCTTGAATCACTGGGTACCCATAGTGACACCTGATAATAATAATTTTCATACATGAAACCTCTGCTGCATATTTAATGTACAAACATCATTGTACTGCTTGTTCTTCTCTATGAGTTCAGTAAATAATGCTGCCTTTTTTAGCAGCATATAGCAAATAGTGCTCTCACCCTAACATGCTGTACATATTAATATTCTTACAGTTGACAGGTTTTTAGAGTTTAGTTACGCTATGGATGGAGACAAACATTTTTAATGCACCATTTTGTCAACTAGAGAACATGCATTTCTAAGAAAAATGTTGATGACATTTATTGTATTTCCATTGTTTTTTCAAATCCATGGCCACCCCAAGAGCTTTGGAAAGCACCAAGGCAGAGCCAGCAACAGTCACACTCCTGTCTTTGCACATTCAGGGACAAAGTACTGTTTGTTTCTCATTCAAGTAGTCACTTCTATAACCACTTGGTCACTTGAACTGAACAGAGAAACTTTGCATCTTTTGCCCATTTATCCAAGGGTTTGTTACAAAAGTTCACAACTGACCTAGGAGAGAGGCAAGGACCCACAGAACTGAATTGCAAGAGTAATCCTTCACTTCATGCACAAGGCATCCCATTCAAACTGAGGCACTCGGAATGTGGCTTTACACATGGCTCTCATAGCTTTCCAGCATTCAAGTATAACCTGATCCAATACACACAACCATTTGCAAAGAACCTCTATTCCTATGGCGACATCATCCTGCTTCTCTATTGATCTAGACATCTCTGCAGTCAGACTTGCTATAATCACTTCTCCATGAAGCCAGACAAAGGGAGGTTTTTTTCAGAGGTGTTAAAAGAGCAAGGACGCTGGCATTATCTCCCTTGTCTGGGGCTACCCTTTATGAGCACCTTCAAGATTTAGAGAAGCATAGGACCCTGTTTCAAAATGGTCTGTCCCTCTCCTCCTTGCAACAAGCTGGCGTCCTTTAGTTTGCTTCCTTAAGAAATTCCGTGCTATAAAAACTCATYGACATAACACCTAGAGAACGAGATCTTCCTAATAGTCTTTCAGGACCCAGGATAACATTTCAGAATTGCTTATTTCTCGTTTGGCAGGAAGCAAGGGACTGCATCCTCAGAAGTGACGCTGTCTCCAAGACATGTCAGCCCTYCCCTCTAGACAAAAACGGGCCCTATTTCGTTCAAACCCTGGCCTACAAAGGTTCTACAATTCGGCAGGATCCTCCAGCACGACGGACAGCCGCCCCGTCCTGCCCCGAGCCTGACGCGCTCCTCAGGGCGGGAAGCGGTGCCCKCGCCCCGGCCCGTCCCGTCCCGGCCGCTTCCAGGCCCCGCGGGGCCCTCAGGTGAGGGCTGGGGCAGCGGAGGGGCCGAGCCGGGAGAGGAGGGGACGCCGCCRCCCCCACAGCGCCGAGCCCCCCGCGCCCCTCCGAGCGCCACAGCGCCTTTCGGGACTCGCAGCCCTCAACAACACGGCCCCGCCGGCCCCCGGCACCTGCCCGGGGCTGCCCTTACCCGCTCCGGACACCTCATCCCCCGCCCCGATCGCAGCATCCCCCGCCCTGGCCGCAACGCCGGTGGCCGCCATGCCCGGCGCTTGACAACAGCGCCAGGCAACSGAGCGCCAGGCGCCGACGGGCCGGACCGCCCCGCCGCGGGGGCACCGCGCCTTTTATCCTGGGTAGAGCGGCCGGTCCCCTGTCCGGAGCTGTGCCGAGGGAGCCGTGCCGGGTGAGCGCTCGGCGAACCCCCGCGGTACAGCCGGGGCTGGGCGGTGCTGCCGGGCCCGGCCCTGCCCTGCCCTGCCCTGCCCTGCCCGCCCCTTCCCGCTCCGCTCCGCTCCCGTCGGGCCCCGCGCGCCGCTCCCAACCCCGCCTCCCGGCGTCCTCTCCGCCTCTCCGGCCCTCGGAGCCGCCGCCATCATGAAGTGAGTGCCCCGTCCGCCGCTATCCGGGCCCATCCGCCGCGGGGAGGCCGCTGCGGGGCCCCGGCTGCCTCCCCCGGCCACCCTCGCCCTCCCCTAACTCTTCTCTCCCGCGCAGGGTCGAGCTGTGCAGCTTCAGCGGGTACAAGATCTACCCGGGCCATGGCCGCCGCTACGCCCGCACTGACGGGAAGGTGAGGCGGGAGCGGGCCCTGCGCTGTGCCCGGGAGAGGGACCGGGCCGGGCCGGGTGGGAGTGCAGGCCTCGCGTTTGGGCTTGGCCGGAGACTCCGGTAGCATTGATGTGGCGTGTGCCCGAGTCACTCGTATTGAGCCGTGTGACAACAGCATCGGTGTCCAGGTGCCGTCAGAGCTGCTCCGCAGGAGATCCATGCCGTGCTGTAACTTGGGGCTGGGTTTTTGGATGCGGTTTGCACAGGGTGTTTTAGAGCAGCTGGTGTAAAGTACCAAAGTTGTGTAGAAAATGTTGCTAAGACATCCTGCATCTAATGCTGAGATTCGCTGGAGGCAACAGCTGGTCTTCCAAATGAATTGAGTAGAAACCTTTGCGGTAAAATAGGGTGGAGAAGCCTTTCAAGCTATCATGTCATAYGCAGACAGGAGTGTCTACCTGCCAAACGAGTGCTTGGCTTTTGAGTATCCCAGTACAGCTGTCTTGTTCTSTGGAATCTCATGCAAAATGACCAGGACATAGACTGGTTGAATCCTTGTGAGTGCTCCTGGGAATTAGGTTGTACTTCAAATTGAATTATATAGCTAATAACAAACCAGCCTGCTCATTCTGCCTGTTGTTTTATTGAAGTAGGATAACGTCATTAGGCAAGAAGGAATCGGGTGGAGCACTGGTCTCCCTGTGTTCCCTAAGCCAAGTTTTGAGTCACTCCCACATACAGGAAGTACATTGTTGCTTGAGGACAGACACTTGGAAAGTAGGATGCTGGACACAGCTGGTTATGCTGTGCCTGAAATACACAGCAGCATTGAATTCAAGTTTGAACTTTTTTCARGAAAATTAAGCTGCTTCAGAATGCCTTGCAAGATTATCAGTTTGACCAATGTAACAAAATTCAAAACTTTAAACTTCTTAAATTATCTTCTAAAACTTGTAATAATCAGAGCTGTGTTAAAGTAGTACAGAAGYATCACTGTTGGAAAACACTGACTCAGAGAATACTTAATGCAAACTGTCATGTCTTTAATAGAGACAAAGCTTACACAAAACRTTTTGCTTTCCCAGGTTTTCCAGTTCTTGAATGCAAAATGTGAGTCTGCATTCCTTTCCAAGAGAAACCCCCGTCAGATCAACTGGACAGTTCTGTACAGGCGTAAGCACAAGAAGGGACAGTCAGTAAGTACCTGCCAGCTAATGGCACTGTAAGTTGGTGACCAAAATATGCATTCACTGGTCTGTTAGAGGACACTTGAGCATGGCAGCATTCAGCAGAAGCATGACCCAGGTCATCGGGATGAAGGCTGGTCAGTAATGGTGAAAATGTGAGTGCGGTTACATAAGTTCATACAGCTCTTCAACAAAAGCATTGTATTGTAGCACTTCTTTGAGGGACTGCTCAGAGCCACATTAGGTTTAGTAAATTTTAATAATTACAGGAATTGCATATGTTTTTAAGAGTCAGTTTTAGAGAAGGTGGGTAATGCCGTTTAATGCGCAGACTTCCTAAAAGTTTGGTCTTACGAAGTTCCTGAATGGTGACAGCATAGGGAGCTGATTTAGGGGTTAGTGGGGCGGAAATGACACTCTCAATATACTCTTGTTGGAAACTTTGGGCTGTAGCTTAGCAGGCTTTTCTTGTATAGCTGTCATTTCATGAAAAGGATAAACTGCAAAGGCACAATGCTCTTGTTTAAACTTGCACAGCAGAAGAGCTTTGAGAAAGGGTTACATCAGTGCAATAAGTCAGTTTTCTTGCCAGTTTGGTTGAAGAAAGTTGATGCATAATGGCTTACATTGCTCCCCAGCACCTGATCCCACTTTAATAGGTGTGGAGTGTCTTCCTTTCAGAAGATACCATCAAAGCTGTATCCTTCCCCCTGTTTTCTTCTGGGAGTTACAGATGGCTGAAATTCTGACATTCGTTCAAAGTAATTTTTTTCATACTTTGCTGTAGAGGCCTAGAACATACCAGGGYTAATGTGTGGGTCTCCAACAGTGATAGCTGTGGAGACAACCAAGGATTGTTGGTAATAATGCAGTATGAAAAGTACAGGATGTGGCTGGAGAAGGGTCCATAGGGAGGTAGAGCAGCACTTCTCTATACCCAACAGAAGGAGTCTTTCAAGAGAGGAGTAGAATTCTACTTCGGTGTAAAATTTTAAATAGCTTCAATCTCAATAGCAGCTTGTTTCTGTGGTTGTCTTTAGCTTTTTATTTAATGTCTGGTGATGCTGATTGTATGTGTTTGTCTCCTACCCTTTTAGGAAGAGGTCCAAAAGAAGCGCACACGCCGTGCTGTGAAGTTYCAGAGAGCCATCACTGGTGCATCTCTAGCTGAGATTATGGCCAAACGAAACCAGAAGCCCGAAGTACGAAAGGCGCAGAGGGAACAAGCTATTAGGTGAGAAGTCAGACATAAGTKGAGCTATCCCAAGCTTTTTTGAACGATTACAGTACTTTTCATACAAAAGCTTAAACTCTAGGTGGGCTCCTTTTTTTTTGTGGGTTTTTTTGTTTGCTTTCAATCTGTATATTTTAATGTAATACTGAGTAATCTTGATAAGAGAAAGTAGCAGCACAGAAGGGTCTCTTCTTGCCCTCTCCCTTTGTGCTTTTGTCACACATAGTTCTGTCTCTGTATAAATCTCCTCCGGGGATAGTGAATRCAGAGGAARAATCTGCAGTAATGCATTCCATTCCAGATCTTCGGGAGCTCTTACAGTGCTGAGACAAGGAAACAGTGAAWGACAGATAACTATGAATAACACAGATAACTTTCTTTCTGTGAATTAACAGGGCTGCAAAGGAAGCCAAGAAGGCTAAGCAGGCAACCAAGAAAACAGCTGTTTCTGCTGCAAAGGTGAGATGCAACAGGCAAATAGAAATTATGAAATTGAATACACCATGKTGTAACACAACACAGAATATTCTGCTGTAGCCCTTCATTAGAAATTCCCATTTCTTTTTTGAGGAAGTATTTACGCATATTTTTTAATGTGAAAGCTCCTTGACTAGACTTTAGCGCTGAAGTTAAGCATACTCAAACAGCTGCACAGAWTGAATMTTTTTTATASAATAAGTAAATGTTACAGTAAAACRATTTCCTGACCTAATGTCAGAGATAATTAATACATARAAACTTGTCTGAATGTGACATACTCGTTATSTAGGAACTTGATAACAATATATTGATGAATGTGTTTCATTATAACTAATGAATTAATACCATGTGTTGGCTTAGTGTTCTGTATATAAACATCTGTTAGCATGACCTTAATATTAGAGATTGCAATTCTAGTCTGATCTGATCTGATTTTTGTCAAGAGTGTATACAGGGACACTTTTAGGACTGCAGATAAATAGTTTCTTTTTGCTCATACTTCATTATTTCTCTACAGGCTCCTACAAAGGCAGCACCAAAGCAGAAGATTGTGAAACCAGTCAAGGTTTCTGCTCCCCGTGTTGGTGGAAAGCGCTAACTTCCCAAACTCGCTCATGCTGAATAAACATCTGATGGAATTCCATTACTTGTGGTCTGCTTAGCTTTGTGAAATTACTGAAGGGAATGAATCTGTCAAATAACTGTGTCTGGTTTTTGCAGGCTGAAAAGCATCTTCCTGCCATAAAATACTTGGTTTCTCAATCTGTTGTATTAGCACACATTTCCCCAGTGCTTGCTGAGTGGCTCAGGTGGCAGGGAAGATAGAGTTGATGTCTGAGGAGTGTTCTTGTTCTTCTGTCCCTGCCTGAGGGACAGAACAGCACCTAAGATTATTCTGCATCTGACTGGTGACGTGAAAAGGAGGTTTCTGAGCTCAGACATTCAAGCTAAAGGGGGTGTGAAGCAGTGTTTCTGTAAGTCACTGACAAAGGGATTGGATGGTTTCACAGACTGCATGGCTCTTACACACAGAGGTTCAGATGCAACTCGTGGGGCAGGGAGTTAAAAAATGATTGCTGGAAGCTGTTGTCAGGAAAAGGATGCCTGTAAAGACTGAATCGGTTTCAAATGCAGTTGATGGTATACAGTTAAAGCTCACTTAGGTTCATATTTAACTTGCTGAATGCTAATTTCTAGATTACTAAATTCCCATAGTAACTCCCTCCCACCACTAGAGGGATGGGAGTTCCTCTGCCTAAGCAACTGTCCTGTAGGGACAGCATGCCCAAACTTTGCCATAGTTTTGCTGAACAGCAATAGCCTTTGCAAAGTAATGTCCTGACTTACAAAAACCATAACAAAAACCAAACTGTTACTATTTTCTGGTCTGTTGATTCCACATCTCGATGCCTGTTAGCATTGAGGGATTGTTTTTTTTTGTTTTAGCACAGCAGTCAAAAAGGCAGCTGTGTTCTTATGCTTCCTGCAGTCCTTTGGGGCTTCAGAAACACCATGGCTGCAACAGGCACTGTGGGTTATGTTGTGTACTTTGRGTTATACTTCGTTTGGGCTTCAATGAAATAGATATGAATCTGGATGAAGGCTGCAACCCATCTGAAAAAGATTTGGCTTGATAATATTGATGGAATTTGCACTGTGATCTTCCAAACAATTCTACTTTTTGCTGTTAGAAAAAGAGTGCTACCCATGTTCAAAATGAAATTGAAGGTTTTTTAACTGGTTA